TGTGTGTGTGTGTGTGTGTGTGTGTGTGTGTGTGTGTGTGTGTATATAGGATTCTACCTCATTGGGAAGAGTGATTGGAGAAGGAAAGGGAGGAGTAGGCGACGAGGATGAAGAGGAGGAGGATATGTTTGAAACGGAGTTCAGACAATACAAGCGCACCTACTATATGAGCAAGATGGAGGTGGATGTGGTGTCTGAGTGAGTGTATAGACACACACGCATACAGTGCACAGAAAAACAAGACACACTCACATCTACGACTCGCTGATTATAGACAAACAGAAAAATGCAGAGGAATTTACAGGAGAAATCTCGTCCTCGCATCAGAACACCACCTTGAAGGTACCTGCAATATCCAAAAGTAACACACACACCACACTGGCCATTGAGCTTAAGACTAAATGGCAATACATTTAGTTGTGTTGGTCTCTATAGAGGGTCTCACAGTAAGCTAGTCCCATTTTCAGCACAATTATATTTAATGTGCAGAAGCCCTGAGAGGTAAGTAAGAAAAAAAGTTCTGCTGATACATTTTCTCAGTCTTATCTAAAATATTTCTACTCCTGTGTTTATGGCTTAAGAAAGGGTTAAAAGGTTTTTTTAAGTTATTTTCTCTATTTTTCATGTGTTAAAATAGGTGAAAATGTAAATAGTATAAATATAATAAAATAGTGTTTGTTGTTGTAATACCCATCGTGGCCACAAGAGGCTGCAATGCACCACTCCCCCCATGTTCTAAATAGGAATAAAAACCATTCTTGTTTTCCTCCAGGTGAGATTTAATAACATAACTTGCTAACACATAATATTTGTACTTTGTGTTAGTGAGTGCATGAAGAAATCAAAAGACACCTCTTCTTACAGATAAAAAAATAAATAACGAACAAAACGTTTTTCACCCGTTTTTGTAGTCATGAACACAGAAACGAAAACTATTTTGATCATCATTAGAAAATAATCACTCTCCTCTCAGCTCCTCCATATATACCTTAGTAGAGTGATCCTGGTACATTAAAGAATGATCTAAGTCTAACGTGAAAACCGGAGTCACATTCCTTGTGTGCGTACGCATACATGACCAATAAAGCTGATTCTGATTGGTAGGTCCTCGTGTAGTTTCCTCGCTCTCAGCAGGTCAGAAAAAGAGTGAGAGAAATGAATAGACATGCTTTAGAATATATCATGCCCACACATCAACCCTGAAGTATTCTCTCCTCTGCAGTGAGTTTCTAGCCAAGCAGGCCAAGTGTTACGTGGAAGGGATCCAGTGGATTCTCCACTACTACTACCACGGGGTTCAGTCCTGGAGCTGGTGAGAGCTGCTTTCTTCACATCTCACTTTGTGTTTTTATATTTTTGCTGTGATTCCTTCGTACCTTACACGAGTACCAATGCCAAACCCCTGTCCTGCATAAAGAAATAGCAGCATTCACTCATAGAAAGTAATGTAAAAATCATTCATTTAAAGTTGGCATTAATAAGAGCTCCCTTCACTTTGTTCTCTATGTAAATAATGTGTGCCTGTCTCTCCAGGTACTACCCCTACCACTACGCCCCCTTCCTGTCGGACATCAAGAACATATCAGGGTTAAAGTTGACATTTGACATTGAGAAACCCTTCATGCCCTTCCAGCAGCTGTTGGCCGTCCTGCCTGCTGCCAGCAAGGAGCTGCTGCCTGAGAGTTACAGGGTAACGCACGCACTCACACACACAATGCAGTATGTACAGTATGTACGTTTGTGCACAATCCAAAGGTGAAATTAAAACGGTGGTCATTTATTATTTTTTTTGATGCCACAGCACCTGATGACCAGTGAAAACTCCCCCATCATTGAGTACTACCCAATTGACTTTAAAACAGACCTCAATGGCAAGCTGCAGGAATGGGAGGCTGTGGTTCTTATTCCGTTCATAGATGAGGTACACACACACACACACACACACACACACACACAATAAATAACAGTTATGTTGAAAGGACATACTCATGTTCGTGTGTTTATTGGACAGAGGTGCCTACTAGCAGCCATGGATCCCTTTAATGACAAGATGACTAAAGAAGAGAAGGCCAGGAACCGTCACATAGAATGTGCAGTCTACTCGTACGACCCGGAAAAAGACTGCTCGTACGTCTCCAACCTGCCTGAGCTGTTCCCCGACATCGTCCACTGCCACGTCAGGTACACAGACACACACATTTTTTTGTGATTGGTTGAAGCGGCGAGGACAAAATGAGATTCGTTTTACTTGGCATTGGTGGCGCTACCTTAAACCAGCCTCGTTGAAGCAGAAATTTTTGGTTGTTGTGAATTTTGGAAATTATTACATCATCTTTTTTCAATACATTTTGGACTATGGACACTCTGGAGTTATTTGAAATGTTTGGATCACACGAGTCTGGAACAATCCTTCACAGCAGGACTAGATTTTAATTCTACCAACAGTTTAATACTAATAGAGCTGCACCGAATAGTTCCAAGCTTCATTTACAACGTTCACAATCGGATCCTAAATCAGCATTTTAAGCACCGGAGCTCATAATTCAAGGAATTCTGAAGGGGAAACACTGATTTAGTATTTTACTCGTGTTAGTTCAGATTGTATTGGTTGCTGGGTAGAATAGTTTCTGACGCGCGTTATCCAAACATTAGTTGTTGAGTGCAAACGTCATTTTAAAAAGATAGATCTGCAACATGTTTTTATCTAAGTAATGAATCTACATGTAGCCTTTTAAAAACATTGTCACTGTGGTCTTCTCTATCTGCTGCACACTGACGAGTTGTATCTTTAAAGAAAGTTCATCTCATAAACATAAACTAAATCATTTAATCTCGTGAACCACTTTATTCAAATTGTGTATTTCGCTCGAGGACTTTAATTTATAATCCTCAATAGAAGCTTTGAATGTTCAGCACAGCCCTAAATACGACTAATATCAGTGTAGCCTGAACTTTATTTGCAACTGTGCAGATAAAACAGGTTGAAACTTAATCAATAGAAATGAGAAAAGGTGCGCAGCATTCAAATGTTACCTTTTTTGAATTTTAATGTCAACACTAAATGGACATGTTGGTCGGGTTTCCTGTCACATTGCAGGTTCAGGAAATAGCTTTTATTTGGTGCTTTCACACACAACCATAGAAAACCAGTTCAGCCAGTTCCCCCGATTACTGCACATGCAGCCTGACGGTATCGTTTGTGTGTTACAGGAAAACAGACATCCCTATGGACGCCTGGCATGTACGGCTGGACCACGTCAGCAGACGCTTCGACCGCTCGGCTCTGTACTTCTGTGGCTTCCCCACACTGCAGCACATCAAACACAAGGTGTGTGTGCACGCACACGTCAACAGTGTGTTTGTGTTGGATGGCTAGGTTAAGCCCCCAACACGAGTCTAAAGGAGCTTATTTATTTATTGTCTCTCTCTCCCTTTGGTCTTTGTCTGTCGCTCTCTTTTTCATGGGCTCACTCACTTGTAGTTTCACAAGAAGAAGAGTGGGGTGGTCGTGTTCCAGCAGAGCAGCAGAGGGGAGAACATGATGCTGGATATCCTCCCCAGCCGAGAAGAGCCGGTGAGCTTTTGTCTGATTTTACAGTTGTTTTTTTTTGCAGATGGGACGTTTTACAAACTATCGTCAGAGGCATTATATATTAATATAGTGTGTATATGTATAT